GAGAATTTTGTCTGCAGTCACGACAAAAATTGAAAAATTTAAATTCAAAAATTTTAAAATTCTGAATAGTTAAACTTACACAGCTACTGGTTCCTTAAATCTTCCAGCTTGTTGTATTTGATACATCAGGTCTCCACCATTAACAAATTCCATTACAAAGTATAAACGATCCTATAAATAAAAAAATTATAAGATTTTAAAAACTCACTCTGCTTAATAAAAAAAACTAACGCAACTACTGAGTGAATAAATGCGAAAGCTAGATTGAATTAGTTACACCTTATAAAATCATAATTTTTACTACCATAAGCAGTAGAGAAAAATAGCTAACACTTCTTTCACAAGTGGCTAACAAGTTTTCTCATTTCTGTAAACTATAGTCTTCAAAAAAAATTTCAGAAAACTTGAAAATGTTGTACTTGACTAACACAGTAGTTATCGACGATCAAAAATAAATCATAAAAGTTTTTTTGGCTTTTTTTTTTTGCTATACCTTTTGTCCACACTTGAATTTTATTTGAAGGCCATAAGCATCAATCAAATGTCTAATCAAGAGCTTTAAAAGCTAAAAATATTGATAAACGAAAAAATCATACTATAGTTTGAAAGCAGGAATGCAAAGAAACTAAAAACGGCGGCTTGTCTGGTAAAGCTAACACTCTTTTCTCCGACATGGTGCAGTCTACATCATCGTCTTGAACGATCACATCTTTCTTGAGAATCTTTATAGCAAAATATTCTTTGGTTTCTTTATGTTCAGCAAGTAGTACCTAAAAAGCAATACTCCGATGTCAAAATAGAGCAAAAGTGACTTTTACAATAGGTCTTATTGAAAATTCAAATATAAAAACTAACGTGTTTTAAGCTAGTCACACCTCAAAAGTCCATAGCCTTTTTCAATTTTATGATGTCTGCATTTTCATGCATTTATTTCGGCTAATAAATTTTTGAGTATTGTTATAATCTGCTTAATTTCAAGAGCAATAATTGGCAGTGATTGTACTGTTTAAGTTTAAAAGTTAGGTTCATTTTTTGCTTTGCTTACTTTTCCAAAAGAACCTTTGCCTAAAACTGCCAAATAATTAAAGTCTGAGGCCTGAACAGCGTCGTGTTGACTGGGTTTTGCAAGCGGTTTTTGAAGTCCTGCTTTCTCCTAAATTGTAAAAAACATAATTTTTTATCAAAAAAATCCTCTGTTATAGAACAATATATCTAATTAAGATTTCCGTAAATAACCTCTTGTACCTTTTCGGCTTTCGCGCTAAGTTCTTTCACTTTTTCCTTTAACGATTCCACCTGTTCTTCATTTTCAGGCGGTATTTTGATGTTGTAATACTCACCTTCTTCCTATAAAATCACAACTATAACTAAGAAAACTGAAAAAGAGAAAAAATAAGCAACAATTAAACAATTAGTTTTATTATTTTGCAGCTTTTGTATAATAACTACTGTTGCTCAACGAGCTTAAAGACTAAGTCCAACTGAAGTGTTTCTAAAATAAGTAGAAAAAAGTACTTACGGCGCTCAACAGTTTGTACCATCCTTCAACCGGTTCCTTCATCAATTCACTGATGCCGAATGACAATGAGCCCATAAAATCATTTCTGGATGTTCTATCCCAATCCCAAACTTCCACTGACAGCCGTCTGTCTTTGTCAGACGGTTGTAAAGCGCTAAATCAAGACATCTATTGTAGTCGGAGTAACACCAGTGACAGCTTTACAGTTAAAGTAGCAAAGTACAAAAAATAAATAAATAAATAAAGATTTATCAGTTTTTACGTTTTGTACTATCTGAACTAATTCACAGATTTCCTCAGTAATGTCACCTTAATCATTCAACGTGACCAAATAAACAATAAAAAAAAAACAAAAAAAACTGATAGAGTAGTAATTTATAAACGTTATGAAAGAAGTCATTTTTATTACTCTGTTCAATAAAATTTGTAAACAAATATTCGCATTAGTACGGATAATTTGTTAGCTCTTTTTTTTTGTTTAGAAAATTAATTATTGTAAGATAACAAATCAAATTCAACAGAAAAGTGTCAAAAAGAAGAGAGAAAAAAAAAGAAAACAATTTTTGTTAAACGTTTAATAAAATTTGCGCAAAATTTTTTCAAAAGCAGATAAAAAAAAAGTAAAGCAATTAGGTGAGAACACGGAACAAATTCCTACTATTCAAAATGTTCGTCCCATATTGGATTCAGTGTCGCTTTTAACCGTTTACTCTTTTGCTTTGACTTTATTGAATTCTCATCCGGAATTAACTTCAGCTTACAGTAGGGATCAGATAGGCCGTTCGGATCCATAGGTATCAAATTTCGGGCTTCTTTCACTGCAACAAAACGTTATTCCTTTTTCACTGTCCTCGTTGTATTATTTTATTTTCTTCTCTATCTTCCTTTTTTTTTTCAACAATTTAACAATTAAATTTACCAAATTAAGCATCAAAAACAGTAACTTTTTTTTTTTGCTCAATTTTCTCTTTCTTTTTTTTGTTATTAAACATCTGCATCTAGAATTATATTTTAGCTTTTTTACGCTTCAGTCAACTTGGTTCAGCTTTAAAAAAAAACTAGCTTTTTTCTTTAGTAACTTCAGCAATATTTAGTGTTAAAAACACTTTTTCTGTAAAAATAGATCAGACAATCATAAAAATAAATGGCATATAAAGAAAAACTTATAACTATATTAAAATTTTATAATGCTTCATCAATAAATATAAAGCAGAAAAAATGTTATCTATAAAAGATAAAATTTAGTGAATCAATTGGTGAAGCAACGAACAACACCATTGGACAACCAAAAAAAAAAAAATTTATTTCTTGAAGAAATTTCAATTTTGTTAACTTACTGTTTAGTTTAAATGAAGTAATAATTACCGTGAACTTTTAGGGAATTTCCAACCACCTGAATTTCCAAATATATACGACCACGTTTTTCTGTATGATCTGTACCGCACATGTTTGGTACATATCTGACACATTTATGATGTACATTTGATGCACAATTTTGACATTTCACTCCCTAAAAAAAATTTAAACAATACAAATAAAATTATAAAAAAAAAAAAATCCTGAAAGCTATAGAAAAAACAACTAATTTTTTTTTTTTTTTTGCTCTTTTCTTATTCAACCTACACAAATAAATTTTTTGTCACTTTTAATTTATTATAATTGTAAAAACAAAAATTTTTTATAAGGGGCAAGTCTCTGAAAAAACGATTTGGCAACAATAGCTATATATTTAATCAGCATTTTTCTATCTCTTCGCTTGTCTAAAACTCAATATCACTATCAAGTTGAGTGGTAAGTAAAAATTTGAAAACTGTAACTAATAAAAAATTTTGAAGTAAAATCTATTGTTAAAATTGACTCACATATTAAAACGAAAAGGAAAAAAACACTGTTGCTGAAAACCTTTACCTGATGTATTAGGCCATAGAGCAATGAACCACAATGATCGCAAAATGTTGGCGATGAATATGACTGAACCTTCCATTTATGTTGTTGTCGAGGATCCTAAATATGCAGTAAAAATAACAAACGAAAAATAAAAAGAACAACTTTTCTCTGGTAAATTTTTTTTTTTTTTGCATTTTAGCCAAAGATAAAGAAAAGAAGAAAATTTTTGATAAGCTGCTAATCAAAATGGTTGTTTTAGAAGTTGTTTTGCCGAAAAAAACCAAACTGGTCAGTAACAAATGTTTGAATTATATATTTTTCTTTTTTTTTCCTTTCTCAGAATACTTATTTAAATAGTTAATTGAATAATTGAGAATAACCATAAGATAAAGAGAAGAAAGAGAAAGTTTTAAAAAAAATTTAGCACTTACATCTGTATCAACACCTTTATCAGCACCGGGACATACAAAATTTACAAATTCATGACATCTTTTATGTACCACCAATGTGCATACTGAAACAGATTGTTGCCAATAAATTTTCTTGTATTTTTTTTTGGCAACAAATATATATATATATATATATATATATATATATA